TTCTGTTTTTGTTCCAAAATTATGAAACATATTTTTGCTTGGATGGACATCTTTGAAATAGATCTCCCTGTGACGTCGCTGTAAGAGATGATGTACCTCCCTGAATCTTTTTTATTTTTTCTATGATAGTCTTAACAATTTGGTACCATACTAAATAGTAACCAGCAGCGTAACTTACCCCTACTTCTCATATTGATCATAACATGTATTTCAGAAGTTTTTCAGTTTTCTCATTTCCCCAACAACCCCTTCCAATCAGAATTACTGTTGGTAAGTGACCTCAATTCCTTCACATTTAGAATATTTAGGTCATTAAAAAAAAAAAAAAAAGAATTAAGCAAAATCCTTTCCTCCATTTTTTAACATTTCTGTCTCTAGGTTGGAGCGTCGGCCTGTGGCACAGAGAGGCCCAGGTTCGATTCCTGCTAGGGGTACGTACCAAACAAAAGAAGCTTCTTCCCAATTCTCACCCAGTGGTGATTTTTTTAAAAATTTGAAGACCATCAAACATATAGAAAAATATAGAAGCTAATAAAGCAGATGTCTACATATCCATCACCTTGACTTAACAAATGTTAGGTGTTTGCTAGATTTGCTTTAGATTTTTAAATGGTAGATACAACTTTTGTACTCTTTGTGTTTATACGTGAGATTGGCCAAGAAATTTTCTCGCTCATTCTATATCCTTATTTTGGAATAAAGGTTATATAAACTTCATAAGGTGAATTAAAGAGCTTTCTTTCATTACCTATTCACTGGTACATTTGTAACATGAAATAATGGGAAAGTTTCTTGGTGTATTGGTAAGATTCATCTTCAGAGCTATTTCCGATAAGTGCTTTGTGTGCGTGTGGGGTGGGTGGGGTGGCTTATTTATCCATTTTTTGAAAAGAATTTACAAATTTATTCCGGTTTACTATTTTTATTTATTTTTTATCCTCACCTGAGGACATTTTTCAAGTTTTTGTTCAGATAGAATGGGAAGGAGGGAGGGAGGGAGGGAGAGACAGAGAGAGAGAGAGAGAAACATCGATGTGAAAGGGACACATTGAATGGCTGCCACCCACACAACCCAACCAGGGCCGGGAACAAACTGCAACCAAGGTACAAGCCCTTAGCGGGAACCGAACCCTGGTCTCTCTGGACTGCAGGCCAACGGTCTAACCGCTGAGCCAAACCGGCCAGGGCTGGGTTTTCTATTTTTAAGTTAAATTTGAAAATTTATAAACTTATAGTTTATCTGTTTTCAAAGAAATTGGCTAAAGTCATAGTATTATATTCTGCTTTTTAAAAATCTTAATTTTAGCCACTATGGAAAACAATATGGTGTTTCCTCAAAAAATTAAAAATGGAACTGCCATTTGACCCAGTGATCCTACTTCTAGGAATATATCCTAGGAAGCCTGAAACACCAATCAGGAAGAATATATGCACCCCTGTGTTCATAGCAGCACTATTATTTACAATAGCTAAGATCTAGAAACAGCCCAGTGTCCATCAGTAAGAGAGTGGATAAAAAAGCTGTGGTACATTTACACAATTCAATGATATGCAGCTGTAAGAAAGAAAGATCTCTTACCCTTTGAGATGACATGGAGGGACCTGGAGAATATTGTACTAAACGAAACAAGCCAGAGAAAGACAAGTACCCCATGATCTTACTTATTTGTGGAACATAGTAAAATAAGCTGTCGACCAAAAGAGATCCAGAATCATGGAAGTAGGGAACAGACTGACAAACCTCAGAGGGATGCCAGGTGGGAGGGGAGGGAACAGATAAACCAAAGAACTTATATGCATATATGCACAACTAGTCCACACAGACACTAGACTGGGAAGGGAAGGAGGGGGGGAGCAGGGAGGAGGGGGTCAATAGGGAAAAAAAGGAGGACATCTGTAATACTTTCAGCAATAAAAAATAAAATCTATTTTTAATTATAACTATATTTGCCATGTAAATCTGTATTATATCTCAAATTATGTGTCTTCTGTTAATTCCTATTCATGTTCATATGTACCTCTTTTATTAGTCTATTAAAAGAAAAATTATTTTGTCCTTTTTTTCTATTTCATAATGCCTACCTTTATTTTTTTATTTTTTTATTTTTTTTATCCTCACCCGAGGACATTTTTCCATTTTTTGTTCAGGTAGAGTGGGAGGGAGAGAGAGGAAGAGAGAGAGAGAGAAACATCGATGTGAAAGGAACACTTCGAGTGGCTGCCACCCGCACAACCGACCAGGGCCGGGGACAAACTGCAACCGAGGTACGCGCCCTTAGCGGGAACCGAACCCGGGTCTCTCAGGACCGCAGGCTGACGCTCTAACCGCTGAACCAAACCGGCCAGGGCCCTACTTTTATTTTTATAATCTTTCATTTCTTTTAAGTTTTTATTGTTAGGTTTATTATTAACTTCTTTATTTGTACGTGCAACATGTGAATTTTCAGTATTTTTTCCACCCTCTTAATATATACAATTTACCTTTAAAATCAATACAGCTGCATTTTACAAACTTTGGCATTATCATTCAGAATCCAAATATTTTATAATTTTTATTGCAATTTTTTTTCTTTAAGTTCTGAAGTATTTAGAAATGTGCTTTTGAATGTGCAAATACATAATGGGTATGGGAGGATTGGACAGTTGCTGTATTTGTGTTACTGATACCTAATTGCTCTATTTGTGTTACTGATACCTAATTGCGGAAAAAAAGAAGAGGTTTTATATTATTCTCCAGTATTTGTTGAGACTCACTGGTCACTGTTTTTGTTTTGTTTTTGTTTACTGACTGTCCCTTGAATGTTAAAAAGAACCATTGCTTTCTCTTAAGAACTCAGTGCAGTGCCCTATGTTAAATTCATTGGTACAGATTGATTATTGAGTTGTTGAAGTCCTCTGTATTCTTAAGACACATTTTTTTGTCTGATACCGCAATTTCTGATAAAAGATGTTACGACTTCCCACTAGTATTGTGTAATGCCAATTTCTCTTTTTAATTCTCTGAATTTTAGATTTTGAATGCTGTACTGTTTAAATGGACCCAGGCTTAAGGTCAATATATTTCCCAATGAATTATTTATTTTACACTTAAGGGATGATCTTTTTTTCATGCCCATAAAGTTCTTTTTATCTTTTATCAGCTTGTCTGATGTTAATATCATAGCATTACTTTTTTGTTGTTTTGAATATCTGCTTAGTATTTCTAAGTTTATCTCATTTTTATCCACTCCATATGATTTTTATTTTAAGTATATCTCTTGTAAGCATATATAATTGGATTGTATTTTTCAATCTAATACAAGCAAGATTCTCTAAGGGACAGAGTTTCCATTGAAAATATTCTTGTATCATTGCCATTCTGAGAGACTGTTTTTAATGAAATTCTAGATTGACACATTTTCTCTTGGCCCTTTGAAGATATTTCATGTCATCTGTTATCTATTGAGGATAAGTTTTCTGTGTCTTATTGTCATCCCTTTGGAGGTAATCTATTTTTGTTCAAAATTGTTCTAAGACATTCTTTTTATTGTTGATGTTTTGTGATTCCAACACATCAAATGAGTATTTGTCCTCCTTCAGATTTTGAGTCTTGCTTTATCTGAAGACTTGTCATTTTTTCCATTCTAAAGATTCTGGCCATTAGTTCTTCAGTATTGCCTCCCTGCCATCTGCTGTTTTCTTCATTCGTAAACTTTGACAGGCATTCGGACTGCTTATTCCATTCCCTGTATTTCGTTCTCTATCCTATTTTTTTTACTCATTACGTTCTATGCTGTATTCTAAATATTTTTATCAACTCTGTATTTTATTTAATAATTCTTTCCTCTGCTGTGTCCATTGAGTATTTTTAAAAATTTAAAATGTATTTCAAATTTGCCTATTTTTTTTTTAAGTTACAGTATCCTGTTTTTATTCCTTCTTTGGTTTCTAATTATTTAAAACAAAGGCCAGCAATTTTTCTGTTGGAGGACAGAGAGCCAATGCAGTAGGCTTTGTAGGTCATGTGATTTCTGTCACAACTATTCAACTCTGAATTGTGAAAAGGTTGACCTAGATAATATCTAAACAATTGGACCGGATACAGCTCATAACATAACTTATCAACCCCTGACTGAATATATATACTGTATTAAAATCACATTCAAATGGTTCTTTTCACTCAAGTAACTAAGACTGGTAATTGTTCTGTTTGCCGCATCAGCTGACTATCCCTCATGGCAGATTGTTTCTTGTGTCATAATTTCAAATTGTGAACTTTGCACACAGCTTTCTGTTGGAGGTCAGTGTGCCTTGAGTTATAGCATTATCTTTCAAAATATGCTGGCATTTCAGGTCTTGTAGTCGGGGTGGTGCGGGAGGCTATCAGTCGATGTGTCTCACATCGATATTTCTCTCTCTTCCTCCCTCCCTTCCCCTTCCTCTATCTAAAAAAAAGAAAAAAAAAAATCAATGGAAAAATATCCTTGGGTTAGTATTAAAAAAAAATTAACAGCACTGTAATTATTCATTTTCTGTATAATAGGATTTACACATATTCTAATTGTTACCATTTATGCTCCCAAAGATCTTTAAAATTCTGGTTAATTGAAAGAACATAATTAAAGTACTTATTTATCTAAAACTGGTGCTACTTTGAGTTAAAAATATAGGTGGTATTGAATGAAGAATACATTATGAAAATTAAAGACAGCCAAAGCAAGATAGAAACACAAAGAAGCTTTGGAGATTTCCTTCTGAAATATAAATTTTATTTATGTATTTTTTTAATTGTTGAAAGGATTACAAATGTCCCCCTTTTTTTCCCCATTGACCCCCTCCTTCCCACTCCCACTCGCCTCCTTCTTTCCCCAAATATCAATTTTAAAAGGAATAGAATTAAATCTATTCATGAATATATATGTGTACATATAATTGTAATATATGTATGCATATATTTGTGTGTACACTTGCATGATTTTTCCAGCCTACAGTAAATCCATGCCTTTTGCTTTTTATTACAGGACACTTGAAATGGACCAAAGCTGAGGACATTGACATAGAGACCCCAGGATCCATTCTTGTCAACACTAACTTGAGGGCATTAATAAATAAACACACGTTTGCTTCCTTACCTCAGCATTTCCAACAATACCTCCTGCTTTTGCTCCCGGAAGTGGATAGGCAGGTAAGTAGAAGTTTAGACATTTGATATTAGTCACTAGTTATGCCGTTATGAAGTGGCAAGCCCATTATCGAAGATGACTGATAAGTGGATGGACCATTTTGTAATAATGGAGTATATTTATGTAATTTATATACTTACTGCTAGCACTGGTGTATTTGATTAATCTGCCAAAACAAAACCATTTTTTATTATCAGTAGTGAGCCAATTCAAATTTTAAAATACAGCACATTGCTGTAGAGTGAAAACAATAGACCTACCCACAATGGGAAGGAAAAAACAAAGAAATCAAACATTTCATTATCAAATAAATCTTTGAAGTAGCTGCTCCCTTGCCCGGAGGGAATATTGAAGTGCAGCAATAAAAGGCCAGGGCTTCTAAGAAATTATGTAAATGTTTTTATTCTCAACTCTTTCCAAAAAGCATTTAAAATTTATGTTTGCACTTGCCTTCTGAGAGTCTATCATCATGAATACGATTGCCTATAAATAATCACCTTTTATCTTTTTTCAGTATAACTGGAAATGCTTTAAGTGTATTTTTATATTTTTGAAAAGCCTCTAAAATAAGGAAATACAAACACAGATCCATAATAGCAGGCATCAGTCATCTTCTAGAGCTGTTTCCTTAGAAAAGGAAAAAAAAATTCATCATAAACTTTTATTAAATTTCACAAAAATTATTAAATGGTAAATAAACATTTCTTTGTGATTCTTATTTCAATAAATTTTGACATTGTATATAGTTTCCATTGATGAACATAGTGTGTGTATGTTTATGAATTTGAATCTCAAAATGAATTCGTATCTCAAAATGATAGATACATCCATAAATTGAAATGGGCAAGATTGATACAATATTTCCACATTACTTTGAATAATTTTTTAGCTTTTTATTTGATTCTTTTCTACTAACCTACTGCCTTTCATACATAATTAAAATTTGTTGAGCTATATAGTTTTCTATTATTCTTATATATCTCTTTGGTAGAGATTATTGTTTATATTTAGAAAAATAGTATTTTCATGTTGGGTATATTTTTGTTTGCAAGTTTGCCTTCATTCTGTAAAAATTGTTTAATATTTACTGTGAAGGTGTTTTAGGTGCTCTGGAGTAATGTAAAGACAGTAAGTGACTATTAAATGTTTATGAAATCAGTGATTATGTACACTCTAGTTGGAAACATAAGCTATATTTATAAATAATCGAAAAATATGTAGAAACAGATACGCTTAAGGGGGAAAAGCAGAAAGTATATTGAGCTTTTATGTGCAGAATGAAAAAATCAGAGACACATTTAAGATTGGGCCTTGAAATATAGGAATCATTTAGGGGAAAAAAAATGATGAAAATGTACCAAGTGAAAGGTTCAAAGATACAAGACCAAGAGCTAATTTTGTGGGAGTCCGGATTTTAGGTAGAAAGGTGCAGATGAATCTGGGGAGACAAATTAGAAGTTGATTTCGGGAGATTCTTGGGTATGAGGCTAAAAGGTCCTGAACAGTGTTCTCCCTGCATATGCAATGCAAAGCCATCGAGGGCCTTGGAGCAGAGCTATAACATATAATATTGCTGCTGTTCTAGAAAACCATTCTGGCAGTACTAAAAAGAAATGTTAGAGATGGGAAGCATGAAAGTGGAAAGAGTGGTTAGAAAGCAATTTTAGTTGTTCCAAAAAAAGCAAAATGAGGGCTTGAGTTAGGAAAATAGCATTGAAAGGGGAGGAGGGTAATGTCATTATTATCTTCATCATCGTCCAGTGGTAACAGTTTATATTTTGTCAAATAACAATTGAAGGAAGATTTAGGAGAAGCTACTGATGACTCTTGGATTTCAAGGTTGTGTGACTGAGAATTGAGTTCAGGAATTAAGAAAAACTTTATTTAATTAGTTAATTTGTTTAGTGGTGGTGGGTACTGATTTTTCAATTACACACTATTTCTTCCATTTCAACATTTGCGTGGTTTATCTTGTTTGCAATTCTGTCTCCAGCTCCTTGAATAAGATTTGGCATATACAGGATACTCAATAAATCTTTTTGAAATGAAGAAATGACAGGTTGTCCTGGTTCAGCCAAATATTCAGTAACCCCAGAGGCCAGTCTAAGCCCCATATTTTATTCAACCTGTGGCAGTTTCTGTTACTCAGCTTTTTCTAGTCACTGTGAGAAATATAAATGAGTAAGGAACATACCTGTCCACAAATAACATTTAGTTCATCAGGAAATCATTTTTTCAAGAAATACTTATCGAACATGTATGATGTGCCACATACACTTTGCTGAACATAGAGAACACCAGAATAAATCTTCTGGAGGAATAAAAGACAGAGGAGAAAGACCACCTCATGCTACACTACTGTGCAGTATTTTGCTCATTACTGGGAAAGAAGTCTAATAAATGGATGGATCTGCACCAAATTTAGTATGAGACTGGGCGAAGTAATACAAATGTCAAAGTGGAAGAATAAAGACCATCCTCTTGAGTGTACAGAGGGTAAAGAACTTTAGTCTGAAAATAGGAGTGGAGAAAATCTCACGGTGGAAAGGATACTGGAACCTTGAAGGACTACTAGGTGTTTCATAAGTAGAATCAGGGGACAGTGAATTTTGCAGAGGGAGAGCATGTCCTTTACAAAGACTTGCTGCTTGTCTGGACCAGAAGATTCAGCAGTGCAGTGTGACTGGACCAGGAAGAAAAAGGTGGGATAAGGTGCTGAAGGGTAGGTGGTTGTAGACTAAGCTCTTTGAACTTTTTATGAAAGGGATGGGCACCATCAGAGATTTTTCAAATGAGAAATGGCACACATGGAATAATTTATACATATATTTTAGTGCCTAGACAGAGGGGGGGGGGAAGAAGATCCAAAGGGTAAATAAAATACAGTCTTTAGGTTATTGTAAGAGCCAGTAGCCCTGTGAATGCTGGCTTGGACAGGCAGAAAGTTAACGTGCAGGGAGACTGGTTAGGAGACAATCACAGTAGTTGAGATCTGAGATAAGGGTCTGACCTTGGGCTTTGGCCTTGGAAATGAAAAGAAAGGACTGAATTCCAGGCATATTTTCAGCCTAGATGAGTAGGAATAAATAACAGGTTGCCTGGGAGATGGGATTGTAAAAGGTCTAGAAGGCACCTGGAGATTTTATCAAGGGTGACTTGGGAGGACAGACAGGCTCTGGTCCTATCAACATTTGATACCAAGACATTTTGAGCTCTTTCTGTCTGTCGCGAGCTGAACTCAACTCTCTCCTGCTACCAAAACTGCTGATGTTTTTAGTTTAGCTTATAAATATCCAGATGGGAATGAACACCACTATTTTCTGGGACAGAATCAGTAGAAAAGGCATGGGAATAGGAATGTGATTACCAAGATTTATTTGAGCCAGTGAATGGTACTATAATTTTATGAAATACCCAAGAATTTCACTTATATGAAAGCTGTCTTCACCTATTTTTACAAAATTTGAAATTCCCTGTTTTCTCGTTTTCTTTCTTTGATTATCCCAGGATTCTGCCTGACTTCTCCCCCGAGGCAGCCCTACAGGGCCTCTTATTCTGGACCATATGAAGCCGGGGTTCATTGCATTATTACATCTTTAAAATATAAGAAGCTAGGTTTCCCATTCGTCTTGTTAGTGCCAACTATCATTAAACCAGTCTGTGTAGTATTTTGTTTCCCTTTATTTGTGTTTTTCTTTCTTTTTCAGAAGGTATTTTTAATCTTAGATTACATTTTTTATTTACTCCTAGTTTTATAACATTGTCACATCTAGTTTTATATCTAATTTTACTCTCCACACATTATGCTGCAAGTAACAGAAAATGGAACTCAAGCCGACTTAAATATAAAGGGCATACATTAACTCAGGTAACTAGAAGAGAGAGGTTATAGGGCTTCTGGTTTTGGCCCTGGTTTTCAGTTAACACGAGGGACCCATTTCATTGTTATTTAGTGAATTAGTTTTTAAATCTTCTCCCTTGTCGTTGGCACTGTTCTAGGCCTCAGTTCTTTGTGATAGGATGGCTACAGGAATCAAAAAACGGTACTTGCCCCTTGGTTCATATTCATGAAGAATACACTTCTATTTCAGTATTTCAGTGAAAAGGCCTAAGCTTCACAGTAAGGGCACTACTTAGATCACACGACTACTTCTTAAACAATGACTGTAGCCAAGGAAATGGACTATGCAGATTGGTTTAAAGCAGCCAGGCCAGGCCTACTCTTGAACCTGAGGAGTAAAACGCTGCACTGTGGTAGAGGTTAGCTGTACTTCAGAAATCTGTATTTAAGAGGTTCTATGAGAAGGATAGGGAATGGGGGTGGGATGGGGGGGAAGCTTGGTAAGTGCCCACTGTAGGGGCAGGGTAGGTGTTGAGTTTAGTTGTAACATGTTAGATCGAGATACTTTTACTATACAAAATGTCCTGAAATGATTATGTATTCAGGTTTTGGGACTGGATAAAATGGAGTTGGTGATGAACTCTACACAGATTCTAGTGTCAGCTATGGGCTTTGAGGAGACTGGGAGATAGCGTAGTCATCCCAGAGGAACACAGAGGTTTGTGAGCGAGGGGAGGTAAGAGCAAGGGGAGGTGTGACAGGGAGCCAGGAAATAGAAACTCCAGATCCATGAGAAATCATCAGTGTGGAGATCCCATCCAGGCACCCGTGGCAAATGGACATTAGGAGGTCATTGAGCAGTAAGAGGGATGTCTTCCCTTTGTCCACCCTCAGATTTCTTCTCTCTGATCAGGGCTGGGAGGCTAACTCATATATGGATGACTGCATCAGAAGGACCTATGCCTCTGCTGAGTTCCTTCTTTAAATTTTTGAAATAATCATAAAATATTAGAAAACTTAAAGATATATAGAGAATAAATTTCCAGCCTAATGATCCTTCCTGTCCCCCCTCCCAATATATTATGACTCTAAGGTTGTAGTTTCTACAAACAAGGATATTCTCTTACATACGCAAAATCCAAGCAATCAAGATCAGAAAAG